TTTATGTTTGAATAACAGAGAACTGATGATTGTGACTGTTATTTTAATTGTATAATGAAACATTTGTGTACTTTCGCATAAAGAGTGGTACTAGTACACAGTAAGTAGATAATGACACAATGTAGTCAGACATCGATCACTCAGTTTCTTTACTTTGCGTCAAACTCTCGCTCGAGATAGTCGAGTTATCGCTAAAATGTACCTTTCATATCTTTCCGTTGTAACTTGTACTTTAGAGAGTTATTTTAACAATTAATTCGAGAGAAATAAAAAATGTTAAAGAGCTATCAACTTTTGTTCTGATCACAATTACTTACTCGCGTCGTGCAGTAGTCCTCTCCGTAGCACTTCCGAAGAGGTTCGGCAAATAAATAAATGTCCAACCACGCGGTTGAAGCAAATAGAAGCTGCTGCGCAAGCACACCGAGTACATCCGCTACAGTTCTCAAGAACGAGCAATTGGATAAAAGCGGCCACTAAGTCTTTCGGCATTATTTCCGACAAATATCGTCGATCGTTGTCAAACATACGTAATTCGTACTATATTTTCAAAACAATTGTTTTTACGAGAAAAAATTATTTTTTTGAAAATGTTGCTTAATTTCTAATTAATATAAAAAAGAGGAAAATAATTAAACACGCTCATCAACTACACTGATTGTTCGCAAAGGATGAATGACTTTCGAAAATTCAGTTTTTCGTTCTGTACGTTTTTATATTGAGAATAGATAGTATTTATTTTAAGAAGAGTAACGAAAGCTAGCTCATCTAAAATTTCATCAAAAACTATGGAGAGAACGATTTTTCTGAAATATCTTTGTACAAATCTGAAAATAATTTTATTGGACTATCAAAATAATTATGTAAAACTCTCAAGCTGTCTTAGAATGTCAAAACTTTTGCAGTATTGCTCATTATGCTTGAGTTGCATACGTAATTATTTTGATAGTCCAATAAAATTGTTTTCACATCTGTATGTAAATCTGTATGTAAATTTATCGCTAAGTTAGACATTGACCTTCCAACTGAAACAAAGGTTATTCGGTATCACTATCAGCAGCCTCCGCGACGTCGTTGTCAATTCTCTCGCCTACGTCTCTCGTTCGTTGCGTACAGTGGATAGAGTGCGTACGTGCATGTGTGTAATAGTTGTACGTTATAGCTTGTGCTATTCCATTCGGACGATCGGGACGTGTAGTCGGACGAAGGGATTCGTGGGAGAGAGAGTGTGGATGGGAAGTCAGAGTTCACTCCATTCATACCGCAGGTATGATCGCACCATCGCACGTGCATCGTTGCACTTGGCAATGAGATGCAATGACGTAATATAATAATGTGGTGACTCTCATGATTTTTCCTTGCATTCCAGAATGGACGAACATTCCCTTGGAAACGCGAACGATTAAAAATATTATGTATCTTCGAGTTATTTATGTAAAATTACGGAAACGAGAGCTTCAATAAAAGATAAATTTACGTTCTTCATATTAACACTCTGAAGACACTTTCAAAATTATAAGAAAATGAAATTGATATAGAAATTTGCAGTCTTAGCTAAAAATTTAGTCTTTTATATTTTTTTCATTTATCTGGAATTCTTTTATCTGTATATCTATTATTAGTTATTGGCATTACACATAAGTTTATAGGATTCTTGAAACAAAGAATAATTTATAGGAAATGATATAAATCAATTTTTAAGTTAGAACTTTGAACTAAATAATGATTAATGAGTCTAATATTTTGAGTCAAGGTTGCATATATGGTATATTAATTTTATCTTTAACTCTTAACTCATCTGTGAAAACTGTATCTAAGTTCTAAAGTATTCTAAAGAATCCTGTTTGAAGTGCACAATGCAAGTAAATTCCCCATCTTACGGCAATTGACAGAGGAAGATTTAAAGTTTTTTTTATTTACAATTTAGAACTTCGTAGTACCAATCATATTGTACCAGCCGTCTAAAATTTTCGCTTCGAGTCCAAGTAACTCGTTGGTGTACTCGAGAGTTAAATTGTAAATTATAAAATGAAAGAGATTAAAAGCGAATGAGAGCACTGACAAATTACTTCTCTTACTCATAATTTTTAATTAATCATTTCTTACGTCTAGTAATACTTTCCATTAGCAGGAAACAAGATAATAATAGCTAACAGTGCTAATGTACGTATATGTCAACCTGTATCTTAACGGACGTCACGGATACGAGTATGCCGTGCGCTAATGAAATCTGCAGAAACTCGCACACACCCGCTCGTAAGGGCGGCTTACAGTCGCTCTTGCACGTCGCGTCGACCTGGCGGAACGACGCTCACGTTCACTGAGAAGTGCTCGTAACAAAATCTTCACGCTGCAGGATCTCCTTGTCCAATGTAGCGGGATTAAAATCCTCCCGGCGAGAAAGCTAGGCGTCCTCCTCTCCGGCGCACCGGCGCGGACGGGGAGGACTTCCGGTTTTGCGCCATTAACTAACTTGGCTTGTTTCTCTCTTGGCGCGAGCTCCTCTGGCCAAGCCTGAAGTGTCCTTTACTACCGCGACCCTCGGCGGTGCCGTACTTACGTTCTCGGGACTAATGACGGCTCTAACATTGCCGCTGCATCCATCGCGTTATACCGCTCGAGAGCTACGACGAGAGAGAATAAAGGCGCCAATATGTAAGCGAGAGGACGGAGGAGTTGGTTATTAGACACGTTTCTTGTTCTTGCTGCATTCGCGATGCGTACGCTTTAATAATGGAATAATAGCAGACTCAGTCGGAGTGATACTTACTTATTGTTAATGTCCTCAAACGCAAATTGACTTTGAAATCGTCGCGCGAACTAAGATATTATTATAACATTCAAAACCTTACAAGAACTGTAGATCAAGACTGTTATCTAATATTTGATGATAATATAATTTTTTTATATTAAGCACTAGATCCGCTGTAACCAAAGATTTTTTTCGCTCATTTGTGTTATATTTCATTTATTTGTTTAAAGTTTTAATTTTAATCTTTTATTTTTTATTAAAAAAGTATTTTATATTCTTATCTCGTACATATAGCTCTTTGTCTGTAATCTTTTTCTTTAAAAGAGATATATGATAGATTTTATAACAATTCAGACACGACGATGGTGAATATGTAAAAGAGTATCACGATAGTAATTCAAATTTTCAAGAACAATCTCGGTCGATGATAGCAATTTTGGGTTCTATTATGCTCTCGTAAATTTCCAGCGAATCACTCTCATAAGTGGCTATCATGTTCTGCGAAACGTGTTTCAAGTTAATCGATTGCACAAAACATATCCGTCTGTCCTCCTTCCCGGAAAGTCCTGCAGATTAAATGTCGCTCGTTTTAACATCGCTTTCTAGCTACTCGATATCACAGGATGAAATCAGTGTCAATCCTGACCAAAAGCCCTCGGGTACCTTCATTGCGAGGTGTACTCGGAATTTATATTGAAAATTCCATTTTCGGAAGGACCGATGTCGCTCACAGCCGAGCGTGCAAATATTTCCGCAGCTTAAGTCCGTGTTGTAGCGATTTTTTCGACGTTTTGGCGTACGCGTTCGGAATTGGAGTAGAGCCTTTCAGCATTTTCCACACGCTTCGTTTCGATCAGGCTAAATCGTCACAACTAAAATCTCTCTGTAATTGAAAATGTTCTATTGTTCACATTATCTAAATTATAACAAAATAGAAAATTAAAGTGTTTATCTTTGCATTCTGTAATTTTTTTGTGTCAATCAGTATAACAAGTTTCATTAAAAGAAATTTTTACTCTTCAAGTAGACTTCTTCAAGTCTCTGTTTCTCAATCACAAAAGAATCTCGGGAAGAATCATGTCCGATTTAAAAGTTAAAACGCATCCGCATACTTTTGATACTTTCGGCGATAAGATTGAAGTATATGCGTTTAAGTAACTTCTGAATTCTCTTTCTAAAAAGTTTTCTTCAGAGAGACAATGCTCTCTACTGAAAAGTTAAACGCGTGTCTTCGACTATGCGATTATGGTTTTCCGGTAATTGTTTTAGCTGTCACCAATGTAACTTTCGGCGACTGCGCTCGCGTCGCGCGCGAAAGTTTCGCGGGCGTTAATTAACTACTAATTGGATTTTATTAATTGGGTCCTTGCCGTACGCTCATGGCACGAGCCACTCACCAAGCGTTACTTTGTCTGTGTTAATAGAGTGTATATTGCGAATCGCTTTACATCCTCTCTCGAGTTGTGTAGTATATTACATCTAGAATTGATCACCAAAATGCCAAGAATAAGTCGAACAAAAAATTCAATCAAGTTGATCCTATATTATCTTCAAGTCGAATTTATACATACTTATACACGAGCAACGACAAATAAAACTGCTTTATAATTGTGTCTATTATTTTTTACACGGATATTCAGAGATATCTAAATAAGTGTGACTTCATTATTACTATCTATCACTAAATTTTATCGATGAAGCAGTATATTTTAGATCGTTTATTCGTTAGTCTTCGAAATTCAAAATTTGCATATTTGATATTTAAAAATTTGATATTTATTAAAACAAAGCAATATAGAAACATAAAGTAAAATATATGGAAAGAAGAGAAAAAAAATTCTTTGTGTGTACATGTGTACCTATAATTATATATTGCATATATATATATATATATGTATTAGGTGTTGGAATTAATTCGTAGCGTTTTACAAGTGATGGGAAGTACTTTCATTAATGTATTTTTTAATGCTCATGTGAAATAAATAACATTCTTTCATTTTAAAACGCTACGAATTAATTCCAACACCTAATATATTTGTAGAAAACGGATAGAAAAATTGTTATAAAATAATTATAATTTTCGCTTCATACGAACGTATATGTTCTCTTGGAAGTACGTAACACTCCAAAATTCCGGGCACGTTATTACACGCGAGACATCGTGCATACTTCTGCAAGTTTCGATAACCCGGTCGGACACTATAATTAAAGTTTTGTTACGTAACGAGAAATTTACTCGCGATTGCAGGATGTAGATACGAGGGTCGCCGATATCAGGAAGGAACGGCTGTGAGTACGTCCGAGCCCTGCTTGCAGTGCTGGTGCACCGAAGGTGCATTGAGATGCCGGCTCCGAGTGTGCCCGCGATTGCCGAATCCACCACCGTCCGGCTGTCATGTTCGTTCACCGGCCGAGAACGTATGTTGCGCCGAGATGGTGTGCGGCGAATCACGTTAGTACGATGATATCTCTTTGATCAAACAATATCTTATCAATAGAATTGGATAGCCAGCAATGTACTGCTAAAAAATATTTGTATTTGTATTAAAACAGATTTTAGTTAAAAATTCTGTGTTGAATTTTCCAAGTTTTAATTTAATATAATGTAATTGCGTTATTTGAACTTGTATTAAATTGATATTTGACATTTATCAGAACTAAAACAACACAATTTATGAGTAAGTGAACAATTAATGTAAATAAAATGTATTTTAAAACGTAAATATTAAGATAAATAAATAAAATGTGTTAAATTAGTGTTATGTTTTTATTTAATTTTTACATAATATTTGTTTTACGTCATAATATATTCATCTTATATTAAATCGATATAAAAATTTGGATGGATACGTATATATATAAAATGTGTTAAATCTGTGTAGGATCAAAAAGTCTTTCTGAACACAACCTGGGAAATTATGAAAAAATACCAAGTATCTTTTTAAAATAATTTTCGTATAAATTTTGTATAAGCCATAATTTAATCATTCAATGTATTGTATAAGTATATAATTATTATACAATTATTATTCATGATTAGGGAAAAGGTGCCAGCTGTATCCACACGCTTTTAGATCCTTTTTACAAAGTTTATCTAAAACGCATAAAAGTTTTGTCTTCATGGTAAAACAGATTAAAGAGTTAATCGTGGCTAGGGTTTAAATTTATTATCTGACTTATGTACAGGCGACGTCGAGAATATGTTGCGGAGAGCCAGTGTACAAACGAACATAGAAGCTGAGGATGAAGAGAAGCATGCTCAGAACTCACGTACAGAAGGTATTTCTATTTTGTTGATTTTATACTTTGTTATTTGTTCTGCTCAGCAATGTATCGCTATATTGTACAAATAATCGTCTTTCTTACATTGCGCTGCATTTATCGATAAAATGACAATATGACATATCTTGTAGCAAGTAATTTATAATTTTTAATACAATTACTTAAATGTAGAAAAATTAATTCGTCTTCTCTTCTCAAGTGACAGTATTATATATTGCTAATATTGCGACTGTACTCTGAGTTAAATTAGCAGAAGCGCTATTATTTTTAATAATTTCCATTCTAACTCCGTCTCTGTGAAAAGAGCGTCTGGACTACCTCTGTGGTAAATAAATGAGCCTCGTTACACTCGAGTAAACTTGGGTAAATAAATTGAAGAAGGTAGAACACTCGGCTAAACTCGGGCATAACACAGAAGGGGTTAAGATGGCTCGTTACTGTTGAAACGAACGTAATTTTAAATTAATTCAGGATTTCTTTGTTACTGTAAAGTTTATGCTAGTACATTTTTTCATTTTTACGCGGTACAACATTGGTTAGATATCGTAACATTTTACCGTAATATTATTTTTATTTGCAACAATAAAATAAAATTCTATAAAAAATATATAACACGTTGTATGTATTAATTAATTTAGCGATATTATTGTATGTGTAATTAATTCAATTGCAAATTGCTTGAATATTTACCTTTATAATGTTAAATTAAAAAGGTTACTATTTATTAACTAAAAGCTTTTGGGTTTTTTATTTAACATCAACATACTATTTTTATTCATATAAGTGAATTAATTTAAGCGTATCTCTTGAAAGTTGTAAAGTTTACTAAATCTATTTATGAAACTAAAATTCCGAGTTGAGAAGCAACAGAATTAAATATATTAAATATTAAAACGCAATAGCATTCGTTGCTTGTATTTTCTCTTGAAACAACAACCTTTTACGTTACTTTATAAATATATAAAGCTTGTATCGTTCTTGAAAGCATTGTTAAATAAATTATCGAGCGCCAAGAAACTTCGCTGAAGTTCGACGAAGCTCACGTACTATCTCACGGGCAGAAACGATCTTAACGAGAGCAATTTAACGTAAACTCCATTCAGTGCTCGATTGCAATTAAAGATTAACTATTGTATATAGATCTTCCAGTTCTCTTTGAAACAAACAGACGACGTTAGAAACAGTATCCATAAATAATGGACAAAAAAATGATAACAAATATTACGTCATAATGGAAAGATAGTAACAAATGTTTCATCGAAAAGAGTTACAATAACCAGTATACTATAGGAATAGACATACTGGTATACTATAGTAACTTAAATGTTAAAGTTAAAAAGTGTACTAATATAGCTTATGCTGGAATAATGTATTTAGTTTTTATACAACACACACACACACACACACACACACACACACACACACACACACACACACACATATATATATATATATAATTACTTTAATTACTACGTAGAACGTAAAAGAAAATCCTAATAACTTTACTTTCGATACATAAAAATAAAAAAGCGCATGTATTTGACCGTTGACAGAGAGAGCACAAATTAATGTATTAAGTTCAGTAATTTCTATATATTATCTTATACAAGCATAGAAATGTCTATGTGCGTTGCTAAGATTTCGGTTACTAAGATATTTGCATGTTCCAACTTGATCCTATGCTCTAACTGGCCTCCATACTAATAAATTACAGAACAATCACAATAAGATAACAATAGTAATTTTTTAATTACTAGAAGGTATAAAAATCACTTCAAGCGATCATTTACATAATAATGAAAAAAGGTGACTATTCTAAGTTAATTAGACTAAAATGGGAGAAGCGTGAAAATAAATTTCAAATGTTAGGATGTCTGCACGATGGAATTCAATATGGCTCAGGGTCGGCGATGATGGGTTCTCGCCGGTGCGAGTACTGCTACTGCATATCCGGTACAAGGAGATGCCTCCGACCCAAGTGCCTGCTGCCTCTACCGGGATGCACTCCGCTGTATGTCGCCTATAACTGCACTCGTGAGTGTACTTTTATCACGGCGACATCACGAGTTACTTAAAGTGCCTTACCAATAGCCCTCCTTATTTCTTTTCAAGACCACCATCCGTCCACAATGGCGCCGGTATCGGGAAACGGTGAGTTCAAATTGTTGTCATTTACGAGCTAGTCCGCTTAACTGAATTCGAGGAAGCGGATGCCACCAGTTGAGAAATTTCCCGGAAACTCGATAGCGCGATCGAAAGCTTCGTGCTGTTACGCAGAGGTGTTTAGCCCTTAACTTTAAATGAATCTAATAAAAATTCCTCAGTGAAACATAAAGGATATAAAAATTTCATAAAATATTATTTTTTTCTTTAGAATAATTCATGCAAAAAATACACGAATAGAAATCTTCCAACTTTCTATTAAATTAGAGATTTCATTCTGCGTAAGAGTGAACGAAGTTCTTTTAAGATAAAATTTATACAAATTGAACGCTAATAGAGATAGCGTAACATGATAAACGCGATACAGTGGAACAAACAGAGTTGTTTTACATACATTGGCATCGTGTAGGCAAGGAACTTATTAAAGTTTGCTCGTGTGTAGAAAACTTGAAGAAAATCGGGGTTATTAGGGATTATTCCGAAATTTACCGCCGCGCGACTAAAGCTCTCCGCCGAAGCACGCTCTCGAAAGTTGTGATGAAATGTGTAACTTAATAACGAAGAGTTACTGCTGACGTTATATCACCTTGCGACACTTACTCCACAAGGATTCTACCTTGAGATAGCCGACGAGGTTCATTTAATGCTCAGTCTCATCGCCCGGTGGTTTAAGCTGTAAGTTACAAGAAAATACCGTAATGATGTACTATTTAAACTAACATATATAAATATTTTAAAGCAATTGCACGAAATTGCAAGGTATTTTAAAGATATTTCTGTCTTAATAAGGGATCTTGATTAGGAAATTTTTGACACTTTAACACACTTTAATCTTTTAATATACTTAATTTAAAGTATAGTCGGAATATACAGTTAAAAATTAGTGCTTGTAACACATTTTACATGTCCCAAACGATCCACTAATTTCTTATATTAATTTAACATAAAATGAATATATTAAGATATAACACAAATATTATGTAAAAGATTAATATACGTAAAAATTACATTTTGACATAAATCTAGAAGCACATTGTGAAAACATATTTCTTCAGTAAAATTAACGTTTATAATATGTTAAATTAATATGTCCATTTTTATTTATTTATCTTATCATGAAGAGAAGGATTTTGTTGAAATATCTAAAATTTAGCTAAATACAGATCTAATTTTATTGAACCATCAAAATAATTACATGGGAATCTCAAGCGTGATGAGCAATGCTGCAAAAAGTTTTGACATTCTAGTAACTAGTTTGAGAGTTTTACATAATTATTTTGATGGTACAACAAAATTACTTTCAGATCTATATCTAAATTGGATATTTCAACAAAATCATATTTTCCAAATAGAATTTACGTTTTGAAATTATATCTATTATTTTTATGTTATACTCGTTTACTTAATCTAGTTTACTAAACACTAGAAAATATCGATTTAATACAAAATATTAAAATAATAATCACATTATAGTTAATATCGGAGTGTGAAATCTTAAAACTGAGATATATTAAAAATTCAACACAAAAATGTTTACAATAAGGACCAATTTTAACACAAATATAAAATATTTTTATAATGTGCACAATAATTTAAGAAAATTAAGATTCTAAAGATTTTATTCTAAATTGTTTTAATAGTAAAGTCTAATTTAAACAAATCTCGCGGATTAGATTTTTCTTATTTATTATACCTAATTTTAAATAATTAAAAAAAAATATTTATCTCAACATATCAAAGCTGTCAACCCTTTCTTTCAATTCTATTGATATTTGCGGTTCAGAGAAAAACGCGCGATTTTGCTATATTTCATACACGAGAGCGACTATCCCGGATATCCCCAAGAGCGAGCACCGTCTCTAAATTTTCTGGTTATGGGATCTGACAGCTATAGAGAAACATGTAACGTGATAAAGAAGTCGTAGTAGGTACCTCCGATACTTTGCTCCGGAGGGAAACTACGAGTCGGCGTTTCAGATAGCCGAGGTTGCCGTTCATTTAACGCTCAGTTTCACCGCGGCCGCTTAAATTTAAGCTGGGTTTAAGCCTCGGTCGCTACGACGATGCCACGGCTGTCACTGGCTGCCGGGACATTCGGAGATGGCTTAATTTTAACGGGCACCGGAAACCACCCCCCTCCCGTCAGATGGGCGGTGTTGTGGCCTTGCCGTCGCGATGACTGACCATGAAGTTGGTAAATAACGATTCGAACCACGGCGACTCGTTAATTCTCTCGGATGGACAAATATCCCCGAGGTCACTGCTTGCCAGGACGAGGCTATTATGAGCTAACACGACGACGCCATCAAAAGAGCGACGTTATGCTCCTCCAGAGCGTATAGCTCCACTCAAAGAAGCTAAAACCTCCAGTGGGAAAAGATAGAAATATGCGATCCGTTATATATTTCTATGAAGTGCTAGAATAAAAATTGAGACCAAAACCAATTAAGATTTTACGGATTAAGATTTTACATTTTTAGTTAAGATTTGAATGTTGAACTTGACATGATATGCAACCCTTTGTCATATTTCTGCACAGAAAGAATACAATTTTGCTAAAAGATTTAAAATTACATCACGTATACGTAGATCTGGAAATAATTTAGTTGGATCATCAAAATAATTTTGTTGGAAAACCAAACTGGTTACTAGAATATCAAAAATTTTTGTAGCATCGCTCTTTATTTTTCAGTTTCCAGCATAATTATGTTGATAGTTCAACAAAATTATTTTCAGATCTGTTCAGCAGAATGTTAGAACTTTTAGCAAAATGTTAAATCCTTCAGCAAAAATCGTTCTTCCTGCGTGTTTTCTTCTTCACGCTATCGAAGTTCCAGAAATCTGGACGGAATGTCTAAATATTCGGACCACGAATATCCGGACATTCGCGCCATCCGTTATTTTCTGCGCAAGCGGCGCGGCGGAAGAAATTACGCGAGGGCCGAGTTTCCACACTCGCATTCTCACGGCTCTCATGATTATACGTGGTACATGATTGTCCAGGATGTCGCGTGGGCGAACGCACTTACGTCGAGGGCGAGATGGTTCGCGACATCGAGTGGAAGGCCGCATGCGACAATTGTTTCTGCGCGATGGGCGCCATACGATGCGTTCCGCTTGCGTGCGCCCCACCTCTTCAAGGCTGCAGCCCGATCGTTCGAGAAGGACAATGCTGTCCATCCACCTACAATTGCAGTGAGTTTCACGCAAATTCGCATCGGGATCTGTCCCATGCTTACGGATCCACCCGGCCCAGTTCACGCCTGGCTTGTGTTTTCCATTGAATTAATTGCGAAATTCCTTGGTCAGGAATATTGCCTTTCATTTTTCAGACTATTATTAAATATCGAGGAAAAAATGCAATACTGAACAAATATCGAAATACAAGTCTATTAAAGCCGCTGATGCTTTTTGTAATGTTAGTAGACGTTTTACAAAAAGAACACGTAATGAAATAAATAAAACAGAATAAACAAAAAAAAAAAACACGAACAAATATTATAGTTAAAAAAATATTTAATTAGAATGAAAATAATTTTTCATCGATGCATGCGCTCTCACTATTCTTAAAATGCAATTTCCGAACCTGCGTACTTTTTATAAAGATTTTTTAACTTTCGCTAATTTAATTCTTGCCTCGATTCTTTTTAAATTTTATTAACTTCATGCTTTTTGTAATATTAATAGACTTTTCATTAAAAAATATATAAAATACATAGAAACAAAAGAGAATAAACAAAAACGAACAATATATAGTTAAAAAATTATTAGCGGACTTTTTTAATTTTTACGAATTTAATTCTTTAGGTTCCTCGATTCTGGTTAGATTTTTTATTTTTTATATTTAGTTTTTATATATTTCTTATTAAAATACTTAAATTAGAATGCTTCGCGCTTTTCATAATTCATAAGAGAAAATTGAATCTTTTCCTTTCATACGTAAGTTTTCGAAATATTAATTTTACGTTGCATGGTAAAAGAGGTCGATCGTCGTAGCAAGCCTCCGATGCTAAATTGAGTCTCGCTCGGTTACTCGGTTAAGGCTTGGTGAAAAATATTTTACCGAAAGCGAAAATATTTATTTGATACATGCCGATGTGAGAAAATAACGAATGCCGTCGTCAACAAACACCGTCTCGTTTTGGGATTTGGAAATATTTTATCCGGCATTCCCGCGTTTGTGAAAGGAAAATAAAATATTTTACTCGGCTTTGCGCGCGCGTAAGCAAATTAAACACGTCGATTCTTGGAAGCGAGAAACATCTGTGAATTAAAAGGGGATTTAATTTCCGCGCGAGAGCGTTTATTCGATACAGTCAATATGGCAGCTCTGTGAACGTGATAGCCATCGCGATATTAATATCGCGGCAGATAGAATGCGTGTATCGAACAAAAATCGGCCAATAACCTGCAAATATCGACTTAAAAGCATATTTTTATTCCCTAACAAATATTGCTAATATTTCTGTATTTAGTTAAAAAAAAAATAATAAAGTCTGATTTTATACTATTTTAATGAATATTTCGTTTTCGGATTACGCTACTCGTTTGGACATTTCTCCTCTATTCTTAGTCATAATTCATTAGATCAATGTGAAATCTATTCCATATAGTATTTGCTGCGCTAATCCCCTTAATATTTAATTTCTGTATTTTTTATACTTTAATAATGAAGAGAGAATAATTGAAAACGAGATATGTATTATCATTTAAATTCAGCACGAAAAGAGAATCGAATTTAATAAGCCAGGTAGCTGTAGAACGTATTATACAGATTCGCTAATTAAAATCCATTGATAGTACAGTTGATGTGCAGAACTGTCAATATGAATCTGACATCTCTACGATTTTTACTTTTAATTAAAGTTGTTCATTATAATGTAATACACAGCAGATCACAAATAGATTACATTTTTTTTCGATGGTTTTCAGAAGCAATTTGCTCATCAAAGCGATTGGTTCTCTTACTTATGGATCTAATTACGTTCAATAAACAAGGTTCTATAAACAAGGCTGAATTCCAAAACGTATAAAAAAAAAATGTTGCAACCTTTCTGTGACTCACCATACGTCGTACTTTTTTTTATACGGATGTACTCAATAAGGAAAACACAAACCAGGTTGAATTTGTCCTACAAATAACTTTTTCGCGGGCTTAATTTATATATACACGCATAAATATACTTTCTTGAATGCTAATAAAAAACTAAGGAATTAAACGTTTAAGGCGGCAGCATCGAAGTAAAGGCTACCCAAAACTACGCATCCTACGCCTTCGTCAGCAAGGACTACGCTAAGTTTCGCAAGGAGACCAACTTTTTCGTACGTTTTCTCTTCTTTTTTTTTTTTGCTTTACTCTTTAAGTAGAAGCGTAAATTATCACATCGCCTTTTTGGCGAGTTTCTGCTAAATAGCTCTAACTGGTCTAAATAAGCTTACTAAATCCCAAAGTTACCAAATAGTAGGAACATGCTCATGGGATCGAAGTTAAGGGGAGGTGATTTATGTAGTCGGCGGAATTTAATCAATGAAATCTACCCGAAACATTGATTATAAACGCGTTAGACATTCGACTTAGTTCAGGAATTTGGAATGGAGCATACCTTATTGGATCACGTAGCACGATACGAGTTTCCGATCGGGCGACGACGTATCTATTATGGATGTGTTGCGTTATTATTAATGGATAACGTCGTTAGTACAGAATACCACTTATAGAGAATTCGAATCTCGCGAGATACATAGGAATCTACTCACAATGGAAACAACTGTGGCGAATTCGGGAGATTCGTCACTTGGATTCTTGGATGGGCTCATCAATCGCGCATCAGTATTCTTTGCATGTGTAACAAATTTTATAAAAATTGTTTGTAAAATTTATATTTCTTAGCCATTTAACAATTTTTATGCGTTTTAAATTAATAAATTGAAAATCTTTTATTTTTCTATCTCAAGAAAACTGAAAAGAAATTTTTATCTTTTTTTATTCACTTCCAGCTAGGATTACCATATCCAAATCACAAGAAAAGAGTACGTATATATACATACTTTTTAAAGAAAAACGATAATTCGGGGGTGAGAGAGGGATATATAATTTTTCTTGCATTAAATGTATAGGTATTTACAAAATAAGATTTCTACAATAATTTTTCTAGAAAAAATTAAGTTTTCAGTTTTTTCGACTCAAGTTTTACTCGATTAAACGCCAGTTAGACGAAATCATTAAATTGACTCGGCTGATCGAATTACGAGTAGACTTTGAAGCGCAAATAGAGTTTTATAAAAAAGAAAGATTCTTCTATGAAGAAATTCTAATCGATTTACGGTACGAGAGCCTGTCATTAATTGTTCAGCCCGCGATTGATCAATCTACGAATCCGTCCGTCGAAGGACGAGGTCACAGAGTGGTCGAGGAACGGATTAGCACCAGTACGATCGATCTCGAGGAGGACTCATCTGTCGCCACCTACTCGACCGCTTGGCCCTCGACCATGGAGACCGACATCATGGACAATGAAATCTTGATAGGGACGGTGGACTATAAATCGACCTTGGAAGTGACGACTACCGCAACTTTAACGAATGAGGTGATGATATGTACGATAATCCAAGTAACGAAAGTCTTTTGGGCCAATCTATCTATAAAATTACAGCTTGTTAAAAATTTTCGGATGAGCGGCATGTAAATATATTGATATTTTTTTTTAAATCGTTTTTTAATCCATGCAGAAATCACTTATTGTTAGTAAATTAGTAGATGCGTACACTGCTAACTTAGATATAATTTGAAAGAATATAATTTGAATTATTGATATTGACATACATATACATGAGATACAAATACGCATATCTATATATAGCTTAATAATTTTAGATAACGTAATGAACGGAACAGACATTAAATCAAATAATATTATTTTCCTATTACATTGCAAATCCAAGTATGTAAAAAGTGACACTTCAATATGTGTATGATTAGTTTTCCATGTTAAAATAATACACTATACTACATACAAATATATTAGGTGTTGGAATTAATTCGTAGCGTTTTTTAATGAAAGAATATTATTTATTTCACATGAGCATTAAAAAATACATTAATGAAAGTACTTCCCATCACTTGTAAAACGCTACGAATTAATTCCAACACCTAATAGATTTACATATTTAAATATTTCTCTTCCCATCAATTCATTATTTCTTTTTCACTAAAAATCATCTATTCGATATTGAAACAGCAGATGTTTGTGTGTCTTCAATTCAGCGAAAAAAATTAAATATATTCAGATGAAAAACTAAATAACAAACATACATTTAAATCATTTTTTACACACTTAGATTTACAGTGTAGTTTCAATAAAAACATTTGTTGGAGTACAATTTTTTTATCGCTTTAATGCTTACTATTTTCTTTAGTTCACGGAAGCATAAATTCATTCATAAATCAATTCGGCGTTAACAATTATTTATCTTCATTCGCCAGTTATCAAGTAACACTGAATCGACAGCATCATTCGAGTCGACACCGGCATCCAAAGACGCTGATTCTGTCACTCGTGATTCCTGCACGACGTGTTCAACGAACACGTTCACGGACTCCACAACGGAGGATGCATCTAGCACAGATAGCTCGACAATCTCGTTGTCGGAATGGACGACGATGCTTCCCGAATTAACGCTCAATAATGGAAACGATGAAAACGAAGATACTGGCGGGGATGAAAACAAAAACACAAGCGAAAATGAGGAGCGGAACGAAGATGAGGCTACGGAGAGAGAAACAATGATGGGAGAGAAAACAGATATAATTGAGAAAAACAAAACTACGGTGCATCCTTTCGTAGTTTCTACGGATGCCGGGAAAACGCTTATCCCCGAGAAATTATCCTTCGAGAACTCCACTCTCATTAAGGTAATGATAACAATAATAATCAGAATTTTCATGCAAAAATAATAGATACCAATGAGATAGTTTCTTAAAACTTAAGTAAAAAACAATCACACATTTTTTTTATTCAGTTAAACTGGAATTATTTAGTAAATGTAGTTTTATACTAAATGTTATTTCTGCATTGAATATTTCTGATTATACAATTATCTAAATTATAATGAAATTATCTTGAAGTCTTTTTATAAATTGTTTCTTTCAATACAGGAATATTCAAAAACCATGTATTTTTTGAAATTGATCATATATGTACATATATAAATTCTGAAATAAAATAAGATTTTTAAGACTTATCATTTTATATATTCTAAAGAAAACTTATAGAATCTGAAAAAGTTCAAGGTATTTTTTTTCACAAAATTTGATTAATTTTAAAAAATAACGACTTCTTAAAAATATTAGAAAAGTAATATAAGAGACTTTTTTGGAACGATAAACACCAGGGATAAATAATATACATGATTTTTTTCTTTAAACTATAAAAAATAATGGAAATTTTTACAAATTTAACCTACTTTGCGGTATAGATTTAAAGTAAACATTATTTTTAAATTAGTTTTACAATCTTTTGAAATTTTTGAACTTAAATTCTTTTATTAAGAAAAAAATCTGAAAACAAATATAGATTTATAAATTTAGAAAATTTGAAAATTTTTATTTATTTTGCCTCGTATTCATATATATTTGTTAAATATGAAACATATTTGCTGCAAAATTTTTATTGACTAAAAAAGACCAGACAAGTTTGTTATTAAACATGTATAACATAGAGGACGAAGACCGGTGGCAAGAGACCCGTCACCAGTCCATCGTCGACGATCCTCATGCCAGACGACATCCTCGTGATGAACGTGACAGTCAAGACGAATGTCTCGGTGGGCCATATACAAGGTGTCACGATAAATCCAATTAGGTCCATTCCGCCTGACATTGAGACTATCTTGAATATTACTCATCGAGAAAAAGGCGAAGATTATGACTACGACTATAGTGAACGGCTTCTGCCACCGTCACTGCCGAACGTTAGGTGACTATTAGCATACCTCGATCCATCATCTTTTATTCAGTTCTATCGGTTCTATGATTTGACACTGGACAACCGTTCGTAGAAAGTACGAGTATATATGAATGTTTTTTTTTTTATGAATAATTGCGATATTTTTAGAATGCATGAAACTATCGGCAGGTGCAACATTGCGCAGTCGATGTAATCGATATAGCGCGTTTTATTTCTTTTTATTAGCCGGTACGATGTGCAATCAATTTTTCACGCTTATAACGGAACCGCTTTTTTGCGAGTTTTGTTGGCCGGGGAATACTGCCGTGAATTAAATTGAAATCGTTTGTCGAAAACAACTGATTGATACCGATTTACGTCGGTTACATTTTTAACGGCAGAAAATGCATAGCTTTTTCGTGTTGTACATTTTTCATAGATATAAAATTATATCAATATAATATTTATTTAAGATATATTTTTGTGCCAGTTATAATTTGAAAAAAAATGATAAACAATCCTCTGAAAGCTAGTCTTATTTCTTAAAATTATTTTTATTTCTTTTTGTATTGTATATATATATGGCAATAATATTAAAATTTAATTAAAACTATTACCGATTGTTTTATAGTTATGTATATTAACGGAAAAAATAAATTTTGTTGCTGTAGGATAATACCCTTTGTGGCGGCAGACGCGTTGGTGAAAGGCAAGGATGTACCTTCGTCTAAAACTGGATATTCTCTTGGTTCAGTTGTAGTACCTCCTAAGCTACGACCGACCGATGCTTCCGGCTTTTATGATATTGCAACCCAGGAGAATCGATTTAGCCCGCCCGTAGAGACCGAAGGTATTTTATGATTCTTTCTAAGAAGTCAAATGAATAACCTAAAGACGCAAAGTTGTATAAATAAAACATCTCGTAAAAGTAAGCTAAATATATATTTAAAAAACAATTTTTGATATAGTTTGTGTCCAATAATTAAACAATAATCAGATGTTACATAATTGTTTTGTTATTATACTTTAATCATATATAATTAATAATAACATATTGTCGCTAATAATATTTTTTATGTAAAAATAATAAGTAATAGATCTTTGTAGGTGGTTTTATACCTAGAGAGCCGTCATACTTCGATGTTCCTTACCGCTCCACAGACTTAAATCTTGAGATTGGTACTGGAGTTACTGTAGTTCCACAAATTACGAATCCACATAAAAAAAATAATGGTATATGTTCTCGATTAATTATTGTTAATAAAAACTTGAAAGATTAATGTCCGTTTCCACCAATGTAAATTAACTTTAATCTTGGTTCAACTTACTCTTCGTTTTTTTTTAATTTTTAAAATTAGAAAATTCTACATAATTCTTAGAATTAGAAAAAAATAAAGAATTGAGATAGTTGAAGTATAAGATTAAAATTAAACTATCATTGATGGAAACAGGTATAAATAGCGAATTATAATATATCGTTAATTGATTTGTTTTGTTGAACTAGATTTATCGAACAAGTGCCATTTTGAAGATATGGAATACCGTCATGGTGAAATCTTGCCACGTGCCGCTTTTTGTATAATCTGTATGTGTTATTACGGAGAAATCGTCTGTTCTTCGCAGAAGTGTCCGCCATTGAAAATTGGCTGTCGCAGAATCAATTCTGAGGAGAAGTGTTGCGGAAAAATCGTTTGTGGTATATCACGTCGTTGTACAAACAAATATAAAATATATTCTCTAAATTTATTGGAGTAAAATCTCATTTTAAAGAGTGAAAATTAAGTCTTGAAAAGAGTGATTCAATTTTTAATCTTTAAAAGTGAGATTTTACTTTAGAATGATAATTCATTCTAAAAGTTTTAGAGAGTACGATTTTTATCAGAAATATCATATAGGCTCGTACGCACATTTTTATTTTAATCTTATCTTACAGTCGAAGCCGACGAATCGCCAACGGTGGTGCTTGACCGCGCTGATGCCACGGCACCTTCTCAACGACAGCCAACGGTGTCCCCGGATCCGTTTCGCGACGTCATCAAGACCGAGCCAGCCCCCGACTTACCTTCTTTGATTGAAGACATGATTCCATATCTGGTTGAACGCGGCATCACGACGCCCAAACCGACGACAACCATGACAGCTTCGAAGACTTCGGCTCAAGATTTGGTGGGCAATCAATTACAACACCCTCCAAACTTTGACTTCATGGAGGTACCGCTTATACAACCGCCCTTCGATTACGGAGAGGAAACTGTCGACTCCTCTTTTCTGGCGAAGATGAAGTACGGAGCGAACCGTGAGACATTTCCAACAGATACTGTTTCGTTAACGTACGATTTCAAGAATCAGGTCCTAGATCACAAACCCTTCGAAAATCCCGAGGCAGACATTTTCGATTACGACAGAACAATGTTGACCAAGTTAAATAGCACGACCGATGGTACGAAGTACGATTTCCATCGGAGCAATACTACGGAGCAGAAGTTCGCGATGGGAAACGTATCCGAGACCAAGAATCTCGATAGAAACTTCACCAGCGAAGAGGACAATCATACTACGAGATACGACAATCGTACCGAGTCAGATAATTTCCCAAGTGAAGATGGAAAGACCACCGAGAACGTCGAGGACGTCACCATCTTTTCTTTGGACAATGTTCTTAAGTTGCTATTTTCCTCAAATACAAGTTCCAGCAACAAGCTGACTGAAACCACAAAGACGCTGAATGTTTCCTCCGTCAGCGGTGTACAAGAGGATCAGGAGACTCTTGTCGTTTCATCGACGAGTGCAGAAGGGTTAACCGAGGAAACAGAAACTGTCGAGACGTCCTCGAAGGTCCTCGACAACGAGATACCAATGTCCGTGGGCAGTTTGCTGAAGCTGGCGGGTTGCAATATATATGGTCGAATGTATCGCGTCGGCAGAATTATAACGGAGCTCTCAAGTCCCTGTGAGGAATGCAAGTGCACGGAAATTGGTGTCCGGTGCGAACAGTTGGAATGTTAATTTGATTCATCGTCAACAGTAAATGTTTCGCGAACGTTTGAACGCGATTAAATGAAACTGTTCAATTGAGAAAATTGAAAGTGCATACGTTGTGCAAAATATTTTTAAGAAAAGATAAAAAAGTTGCTCACAATTTGATGATAATACAATCGTTACTTTTAAATTTACTTTTCAATTAATTTTAGAATATAAAATTTACAAGAAGAAAAACTAAAATATTTTTAGGATGTTGGAATTATATGCGAGAAAGAAAATGAAATATCTATATCAAAATTATATTATAATATGAGAACGATATTCAGATTTAAATAACTTCATAATACAACTTTTATAAGATTTTAAAATTTTAAAACTTTTAAGTCGGAGATTTTTTATCATTGTGAATTTTATCGAATTAAATCGCAATCCAGCGTTATCATGTAAAATAGAAATCACTAATAATTTATCTTTATATTTTAAAATTTTTTAAAAATATAAATCCGCCAAAATCCATAGAAAATTAAATTATACAAATTTTTTATTATCTATATTCTCTTTCTCTTTTATTTTTTAATAATTTTGGATATTTGGTTTTCTACGGTAAAATTTGATATTTTGCTATCGATATAGTTAGGTCTAAAATTACGAATTTCTGAAACTACCAAGTCGTTGTTGTACCGTCAAGACATCTTGGCAGAGCGATGAATCTTCGGCCAGAACTTTGGACAACTTGGACCACGTAATTATCCAGACAGAACCGATAGTCTCGATGACCCTCGATAACAAGACACCGACGTTCGTGGTCAGATTACTCTAACTGGATGTAATATCTATGCCGAGTTGTATAGCGTTGGTCGCATCATTAGTATCTCTAAGTTTTCGCTTTAGATGTGGCATCACAAGAGGATTTATATAAACTAACAAAACTTAAGTGTTGGATCCTTAATTGTTTGGATATCTCACACATTAATTTTCTTCATGAACGTCTCTTCATTTCTTGTACAAGACAAGACATCTGAAGAATGACAAATTAATATCTATGGTTTTAGAAAAAAAAAATAAAAATCGCTCAGAGGCCTTTAATAGTTTTAAGTTCTTCTGATATTGTTTTCGAAAAGTAATAAAAATAAAAGAGAAAAAAGAGACTACCTACTCGTATTTGGTTGGATTTACAATTAGTCATTGTAACGACAGTTTTCATTTAATAATTGTAATATCTTTTTGCATTTTTTACTTATTTCGATTTTACTATATGCAGTCATAGTTGTAGCGGAATTCATTTACAAGTATAAGAATTATGACAATTCAAATATTTCACTCTTCAAATATAGAAATTGAAAGAGGCTCTATCTGCTGCACACTAGAATTGGATTTCGTACGGACACTGCGTACATAATATTTAAATTTTGGATATTGCTGATGATGGCCTGAATTGAGCCAAAATATTCAAACGTTTTGTTGAATGACGTAAAAAGAACATAAAAACAAATTTACTTTGTTAAATTATAAAGCGTGAATTACTGCGTGGGATTTTTACTCTCACTCGCCTTTATTTACTATTCAAATTTTGAAACTCCGATTAATCTCTATTATTTTTTTTTATCATAAAAAAAGATTACATATTGTATGGAAGAAAATACGTTCTTCTCTAATATTAGCCGTGATTTTTTATTGATTGAAGATTAATGACAGTTTGACGTTCTTTCCGCTTTTTCTGCGAATATCCGTGTAATTGACCTTTCTCCCGATTAGAAATATCGCCCGTATAATCCGTCTTATAGTTCGTGATTGTCATCTCCCGTCTTATATCCCGGGATTTCCAGATTCCTCCTTCTAATTTCTTTCATGTCTGTCGTTTTCTCTCTCTGTATCGTCGAGCATTATTTCCACGACGTCGCGCGGTGGTCATAAACGCCGGCCTTAGGAGAATCCACGACGGGATCGATCAGAATGTAATTGTGAGGAATAGTCCTTCCGTGCCTCGAAGGATAAGTGGATGAAGACGGAAGTTAGCGCGGTATTCGCTCACTACGACCGCCTTTCTTCTTTAATGGGAATTATCCATCTATATACCGATGGGGTAGAGAGACGAGGGTGCCGTTTTGATTTATCTTCGTAATTTATCTTTCCGAATGCAAAAGATATCAGGGTGGAATACGACGGTAAAGAAAGGAGGGAAAGAAAAAGAGGGAAAATAATCATTCGACAAAGACGTTCTTGTAAAATTTAAATTATCCTACTAAATTACACACCCTTTGTAAATGAATTAGATTTGTAGCGTATATAATAGCCAGCCATTATGTATGATTTATAAACATTTATAAAAAATTAAAATGTTGAAAGAGAAATAATCTACATAAGTCAGACCTCTTCAATGTTAAATAATATTTCATATTTTTCTGACACAAATCGAATATTGAATTCTGATTGGAAAAATTAATTAGAAGAACTGACTTACAGAGATTTTTTTCACAATTTTGCCTATCTTTTATAAATGTTATATCATATTGAATTACAATACGTATACTTTATGTTAACTTTTAAGTTATAATAAAGATCTCAATAGTATCACTGATTGAAATTGGTATCTAATGAATCAGACGGAAATCAATAACGAACATTGTTATTAATGATGCTGAAATAATTTTACAGATTATGACGCGTCAATTAATATTCAATTAATATTATTCGTTATTTTTCAGCATTATTTGTTGAATTAGCGCCGTTATTACATAAGGATAAATATAATAAATATATATTACAATATAAGTATGTATTTGCATTCATATTAATTTGGCTATAACTGATATATGTCCAAAGTTATAAGAATGCTTTGTATATTTTTTAAGCATTTACCATCTTTAATAATCTTATACATTCATCAGGCAGAAGTTTTAAGAAATTGGAATTACATGTTGATAAATAAAGCTTTCATGGCAAAAGAAGATAATCCTATTCAATAAAACTTGTTTTTTTCATTAAATAAAAATTTGCTTTTTGAGAAGGAAGATTACGGTTATATTTATGGTTATAATAATATATTGACTTATATAAATTAGCTTGAAAATTACCGATTTCATTTAAAATACCGCGAATAGAACATATATATCATATATATATATACATATATGTATACATATGTATACGATATATATTTATTATATATATGTATGATATATATGTACAATATATATTCGTACATATATAATAAACTTCTACATTTTTTTACCTTTACTTTTTTACGCTTTATTTTCTTTTCCTCATTCCTCTTTCTTTTGCAGAAAATATCGGAATGTAATATGCTTATATATATTTCCAATAAAATTAATTTTTACAAAGCTGCTTAATTACACCGCGCTTTTAATCATATCTATCCAATAAAAGACAATTTTTTCTAGTTTTTTTTTTATAAAAACATTATTTATGTTAATATCGAAAAAATTTCATGGAAATTATTTTAATACAAAATTTAAGCAATGATCATGTTATTAAAATAATTTAATCAGTACACATCGCGGAAATTGTTTGGGAAAATAAAATCCGATAAAAGAGGTGACTCATTCAATCGAAATTAATGCGAAGAGTTAATTGCAAACCTAATTAACTCTAATCTTCAAAATATCATATCCTCGATATTCTACGGAATGATAATGACAGATATTGAATGGAAACAGTTAATAAATGCGAATATAGAGAGGAGGATAGTTCGATGGGGAATTCGAGATAGCGGGTTGCAACAGTTTGTGAAACGTCATACGAGAGACTCGCTCAAATTTTATTGCAGGCAATCGATTGTTTCGATATATGTATAATGAAGATAACGGGGTCTCGTTATATATTCGCGGTGAAATCACAGTACGTGTGTATGTGTGTGTGGGTGTGTGTGTAATCATATATTTATATTTAGATAATAATTTATTATTTACAAGATAGTAATGTGTAATCATGTCGACGATAACACTAACATAATCACAGCCAGTTCGTCTCATGTAACATTGATAAACAAGTAGATATATGAGTATACGATTAACTGTCCGGGAAAACATTACTTTTCTCGCATATGACATTACGTTCTATATTGTTACATGCTTGTGTACATATTACGCGCAATTATAATTTATTTCGGCACTAATATTTTTTGATCGCGCATCATTGCAATTTTCTTAACCCTTTGAAGGACCTTCTTAAGGACGGGAGCTTTCTAAAAAAGAAACTTAAAAAAGAAGATCCTGTTATTTTGAGAGGATTGTTTTTTGGGATTGTATTGAATCAATTCTAGCTTCAGGATTCTAAAATTCAAATTTCAAGAAATAATTTTGTTATCATAAAACGGTTTTAGGAGGGGTTCCTGAATTTAAATATTCTAATAGTCTAAATTTAGATACCCTAATATCGCTGAATTTAAATACAGCTCGAAAAGATCGAATTTCAAAAAGGTACTTTCTAAATCTGAATCAGTGGATAGTCACTAATTATAATGGCATACTTGGCACTGATAATCAATCAAAATAATGAAGTTCAACTAAAAAAGGAAGAATATTTGAGCATTAATAACTAAAATACTGATATTTGCATATCAGTTAATTTCAATCTTCCAATACCACATTCATTGAATTTAAACACTAAAACAAGATTAGTTAGATCACATAATAAAGATTAATTGAATTAAGGATCTCACATTTAATTCACTGATTACCGGCGGCATACTTGGTACTAATATCAATGATTATCCACTGATTCAGATTTAGAGAGTAATCTTTAATGAAGATCTAATGTCACAGGGTTTATAATTAAAATTTAGAAGTTAGTTTGAAAATCAGTACAATTATTTGCGCAATATTGAAGAATTTCAAATAAAGCAAAGCTGGAAACTTGATGTTACTTCGCAATAAAAAATTATCTAAAATTGAATGTTATAATCAGATTATTAAAAAAATTTTTTATTTTTGACCTCAGATTTGAATAAAGCGATATCAAAAAAATGATTCATAGATAAAATTTCTTAAAAATCAAACAAGCAATTTATAAAATAAAAGGAGATGATCTCAAATAGATCCACAA